GCGAGAAAGGAACTATCCAGATCTTCCAAAATCCCTTAATTAAGCAATATACCGAAAACTATAGTAGGATCCCCGATGTGATTTAAAGTAGACTGCTGAATTAAGGCATTAAGGCATTTTGGACCGGTCACGACTTGTTCAGGCCGCCAATCTCAACTCCCAATGGGCTTCCGTTCGCAGACCCTACATGCACCCTAAAATGTCTGAAAGGTACGCCCTTCTTCGGTTGCCCTTTTGTTCTTTTATCTTAGGGTTTCTGAGCTTAGGGTTTAAGGCCTGGTCTGTCGCATCTTCTTTGCTTAGCTTTGTAATCCCTTCCCCCTAATATTAAACGGGGGACCCAATAGAAACTCTGAAACAGATTTTATTTATTAGGGTGTATTTTGATCTCTACTGCTAGTTTTGCAGGCTCTTGCTCTTGCTCCTTTTCGGGCTTTTGCTCCTGCTCCTGCTGCGTCTGTTGCTCTCGCTCTTGCTGCTGCTCCTGTTTGCGCTCGCTCTTGCTCTTGCTTTCGCCTACTCGAGCTCATGCTCTTGCCTGCACTCTTGCTCCTGCTCTTGCTCCGGACCCCCTGCTCCAACTTAGGCTTTAGAGGGCAGGGCTGTTTTCGGGAGGGTTGGCCCCAAAGTGGTTTTGGTATTAGGGGGGTGTTTACAAATGGGGGAACGGATTGATACGGGATGCTAGCCATAAAATACAGAGAGCAACACCAGGTACTGCATGTTTTGGTCTGGTTTTGACCCCAGGTTTTAAAGCCCAGCTGCATTGTCGAACGGACCATGAGCGCGGTGATGAGGCGCAGGGCAGCGAACACGATGGCAACGACATAGATCAAGCACCTGACATACGACACCCCACACCCAAAGCTCTGACAACACGAAATCACATGCTACTATGTAACTACATGCCTGAATCCTTAGAAGCCTATAAGCCGATAGCCTTAATTTCTAAACCGCTGGGCTGTTGTAGAAAAATGTCAAAGGACAGCTGGCAAAGTGGAAACCCGAACACACATCGGCCACGCTTGCAGTCAGGGTGCGGAACTGCGAAAAAGACGCTGACGTCGTCCACCAGGGGTCGGACGAGGACGGGCCAACCGCCGCTGAACCTTTTCATCTGTTCAGGCTAGACCTGGACCTTTAATTAATAAGAACCTACCCTTTTTCGGGTTCCCTTTATGCTTTCCTTATAGAAGTCCTTGAAACGGTAGGTTATTCGGTAAGGTATAGGGTTTGGTGTAGGGCTTCGAGGATTTAAGGTTTCGAGGGTGTTGGGTTTGAAGTTTCCTTTTTGGAACCACCGCTGAAACTTTGGTTGAAGTGGGGCTCAGCTTTGACTCGAAGGGCCGGGCCTGCAAAATGCAGGGTTTAGGATGCTTAGGGTTTAAGGCTTAGGGTTTATGCATGGCATGTGTAAACCCACATTTGGGCTTTGGAGTTGAGCTTCGGAACCGTCTCCGACGACTCAGCTCGTTACGCCGTACAGTCTCCAACTTAGGTACTGCCCCAATACAGTAAGAGTCTATAACAATAGGGCTACTATTAAGGTCCTAATAGATCTATACTATGCATATTCTTCAACTACTACTGAGTGGGGGCCGTACCCAATCTACACCCGAACTCCACAGCACTGACCGATCCGGATCCGGAGGCGAAACACAAGTTCCAGGATCTTCAGCCCAAAGCCTCCTAAACCCCAAACCCCTAAAACCCCTAAGACCCTAAACCCCTAAACCCCTAAAGCCCTAAACCCCTAAACCCCTAAACCCCTAAACCCCTAAAACCCCTAAAACCCTAAACCCTAAACCCCTAACCCCTAAACCCCTATAAACCCCCAAACCCCTAAACCCCTAAACCCCTAAAGCCCTAAACCCTAAACCCCTAAAGCCCTAAACCCTAAAACCCTAAACCCTAAACCCCTAAACCCTAATCCCCTAAAACCCTAAACCCCTAATCCCCTAAACCCCTAAACCCCTAAACCCCTAAAGCCCTAAAGCCCTAAACCGCCCTTGGAACCATAACTCAGCGAAGGGCTCCAGGGCAAAGATGAGACAGGCAGCAACGAACAATAATCCACATGGGTAGTTGTCAAAATTATGGTCCCTTTCTGGGTACCATAAATAATAGGTGCCGTATTATAATAGGGACCCAAAAAGGGACCATAATATGGAGAACCACCCACATGATATCGTTGATATACTCTTGCCCTAAGGCTCAAAACGGCCCAAAAGCCATATCTAATATGGTCTTGAGGCCCAAAAGCCTTAACATATCAGTGCTTACAGCCTTAGGGTTGGGTTTATACGAACAACTACAAAAAGGATTCCTAAGGATACTATAGAAGCCAGCTAAGGTTTATCACGGACACCAAGCTTTTCGACTCAGGCGCATACTGCTAATCACCTAAACTTTTTATGTGAACCAATCTCTCCATGTAGGCTGTTCTCGCACTTGTCTATCGTGTCTGTGCTCGGTACCCAGACCTTCCAAAACCCCTTAATTAAGCAATATACCTTAAATAATAATCGGATCCTTGATATGATTTAAGGTATATCCCTTCATTAAAGGATTTTGGAAGGTCTGGGTAGCTTAGGACTCAGGATCGGGGAAAGGAGTGAGATCCTACTTTTTATCCCCCTGGCCCAGACCATGGGCTTCCACAGCGGAATTTCCTCCTGTGGTAGCATCCAGCAAGATCAAAACCTAGGATACCCAGTAACCTAAGAACAAAAAGGCATCTCTTTTTGGTATTGGGTAACTTTATAAGGAACCTAGGACTACGAAAAGGGAATAAGGCTACTACTGGGCATCCTAGAAACTTGCCATGATCTAGGCGGCAGAGTTTTGGACAAAGCGCCACCTGATGAATGAGTAGCTCCTTCCCGCGGGTCTCAAAACATGATAATTAAGCGCTTGTACCCTCCTCCTCCTCCTCCGCCTCCTGCTGGTGCAGCAACAGTAAAGACGAGAAAACTCATGCACACACAAGCACAAGCGCGCACACACTCACAGCCACAACCACAACCACTAGGTGCAACCTTACGCTGGTGCCCCATTGCCTTTTTGGTTGTGGTTGTTGCTCCCCCTGGTTCGACCGTACACTGGGTCCCCATTCCTGTTCACGGCGCTTTGCTCGCGCGTTTGCGCTTTTTCATAGGCATTTCGCGACAACTACACTGCTTTGGCTGCCTGCCCTGCAAAATCCCGGCATGTCCGGAACTTGTTCCACCGCACCTGCGCGGGGGCACACCGTCCGTGCGCCACAACTACAACCACAACCATCGCCGCGACTACAACGACCGCGACGACGCCGACGACGACTACTGCTACCACTGCACTATACTCGCTTGCCAAGGGGCGTGATCTCGAACATTGTGTACATGGCGCGGCTGAAGCTCCCGTAGCGGATCAAAAGCCACTCCTGTGGAAAAGGGCTTCAGCACTTAGGGCCTTGCAGGCTCAAAGGTCTATCTTAAATGCTGGATCTAGAGGTGTTCCTGCGCACGGTCTTGAGGGCTGTACAGCTTTTGAGGCTTAGGGCCTAAACCCTAAACCCTAAGGGGCTATAAAGCTTAAGGCCTAGGTCTCCGGGGCTACCGAGTCGTCCCTATATAGGTACCTTAGGGCTGAAGTATATACTACTTGAAGGCTCATGGGACTTAGTAAGTAAGGTTATAAGTAGGTTATAATTAGGACAACCCCACTTGGGGGACTGTATAATCCCAATTATAACCTACTTACTCAGTGCCATGATCCTCTAAGCTGACGGATACATGGCCCGACAGAGTGAGACCCTCGTCCCAAAGGCACAAGCCTGAATCCCGAATGCCAGAATCCCAAATTCCCAGCCTTTAAAATCTAAACCCGAAGCCCCACGTCCCCAGAATCCTGAACCCTGATATAGGGGCCTTAGTAATTAGAATGGGATTTCTGGCCCCATTATACTTCATTTATAATGAGGAGCCCACCTAAATAGTTTAGGTAATAATTACCCAGAATATTGGGAGTATCCAAAAAGTAGATCCCTTAATGGGGGTTCCTGTAAAGTGCCCTGAGTAGTATAGGGCCGCAAATTCGGGGATCTACTTTCTAGATCCTCCCCGGGGTCTGGGTAAAGCCCCTTTCTTAAACCCTAAGCCCCAAGACCAAAGGCGAATAAACTGCTCCCGGCACCTTCGTTTCTAGGTCGATGCCAGCAGCAGGGTCGACCTCAGCATTCACTGTATGGTTTAGTCACTGAATCCTGGACACTATGACCTTCTGAGTCCATGTACCTAATAACCATATACTCTCCCAACTACTAACTTAAAAGAAAACTACCGTCCCTGACCCAATTAAGTACCTAAGTTTTGGGCCGTTTGGATCCTTAAGATGAGGGCTTCTTGAAGAGAATCTATGGCCCAGGGCCCAGTTTCCGTTGATTCGGGCTTTAATTTAGGGGTTACCCAGAGGCTCCGTGTATAGTACCACTATGGAATTAGGGCCCCAAAAGACCATACTTATCAGGGTTTTAGGGCCTAATTCCATAATGGTACTGTATCTGGAGCCTCTAGGTTGGTGCTTAGGGCCAGTACGTGTTAATGAAGGAATATCCATAATCATACGAAGCCCTCTTCACCGTCAGGGGTATACTACTATAGTCCTCAGTTCGGATATACTAAACAACCCCTCGGACATGGAGAAGCTGGAGGCCTGTGCTCCCTGTGAATGCACTCAAATCCTAGGGTTTAGGGTTTAGGGGTTCGGGATTTAGGTGAGGCCAAGAGCCTGCAGGGGACACGGGCTTAGCTCTAGCAACCGACAAGCAAGGACCAAACGGTTGCTAGAGCCGAAAGATATGTAACTGCTGACTTTGGCGTGGCAGGACATGCAGATCTGAAGCGGATCCATTGCAGCATCACGTCAGTGGCGACTTGGTTACATCATGTTGAACAAAGCTAAGCCCTTGTTTTCCTTTTGCGGGTGATTTGCTGCCGCCGAAAACTGTCGTGAACCCGAAATCACCAGCAGACCGTCTCAAACTGGGTGTAGCCACCAATTCCAGCACTGGGGCTACAAACAAAAAACTCAAAACCTACAAAGCTAGACCCAAGAGTAACCTAGGAAGAAAAAGGGTGCCCTTTTTGGTTTACAGGGGGTTATAAGGGAACCTAAACCCTTAAAAAGGGAATAAGGGCCTACTCTGCGTCCTACAAAGGGTCCCAATTACACATATTGTGAAAAGTAGGGGTTTCTGGTGCAAGACTTCCTGTCTGGTTTGGGTAAGCATCTTCGCTCTTCACCATACTTGGGGAACGAAACATATCCAAACGCAGACCTTAGTCTCTGAAGCCTTGGTACCTGCAAAGCTGAGCAGGTTTGGGCTGTGGCTTTCAGGATGCGGTTTAGGGTTTAGGGTTTAGGATGGCTTAGGGTTTAGGGGTTAGGATTTAGTCCAGGGTTTAGGGTTCAGGGCTTTGGCTTCAACGTCTCAGAAGTCCGATGAAACCCGGAAGCGACACCACCGGATCATCAACAAGCAGCAATGAGCGGCACGCACGATTCGCAAAGAACCAGCGCTGCGATCATCATGCAGACCAGCCTTGTCTCTGTATTTTTTTACGTTGCAGGGTTCCGAGAAGGCTTTGTGTGACTCCTGCAATGTTACTAGGAAATCTTGAGCCCGTGGGCCAAAGACCATGTTGAGGCGACAGGAATGGGAGAGGACAGCAGAGATGTGAAGCGGTGGCATTGCTTCGGCGACATGTACAACCTCCAACTGCCCATTCTTAATATGCCAGCCACCAGCAGGCAATGTAGATGCAGAAGAATGGCAAGGTGCCTTGATACGAAAAGTTGCATGTAGCCAATGCTTCAACTATATCTGGAAGCCACATTCACGGTGGTGCAACTGTTAACCTTGCTGCAAGACTGTCTGGAGGTTGACCAGCAACATCGTAAGGATCACATCATAAGGAAATTCGGGTTCTACATCGAACATGATTTTCACAAGTTCAAAAAGGCCAAGGAGCCTGAACCCTAAACCCTAAAGTGGCCAAGAACCCTGAAACCCTAAACTCTAAACCCCAACCCCTCCCTTACGGTCCTTACGAACCCTAGACCCTGAACCCTAAACCCGATCAGGGCCAGGAAGCAACAAGACCATAGACCAGAAGAGCGAGGTCAAGCTCGCAACGAACGTCTCCACCATGCCTTGGCTTCCCGTGGTCAGTTTTGGACTTATACAGGGTTTAGGGTTGAGGGATCCAAAGCCCACCACCAAAACAAGCATTAATTCAAGAACGAAGATGCTGCGAAGTTGGGAAAACAGCTGCATCACTCGAACGAGGCGCATCGTTTTCGCGATCTGGCAGGGGCCAATCTCACGCTAGCTGCAATGCGGGACTAACAGTCTTCATCGCACGTCATGTTCTATGGGCTATATGCAGTGTTTCATGTAAGATCTACCGTATGCAGCGGCTTCCGAAAGGACGTTTGTCGTATGAGTTCCCGATGATTCTACTGCAAAAGTGGAAGCAAATGCATTCGAGATTTCAAGTTTCGGGACTAGCCCTAAACCCTGAACCCTAAGCCCCTGAACTCGACCCTGACCCTCAGGGCTCTGGGCTTCATGGTGTTGGGTACTTGGAGGGTCGGGGTACTTAGCAAGTATCCAGAGGCCCCAAAGTAGTTCCTTGTTGGGATTACCCTATAGGATTCTATATGCGAACCCCAAAAAAGAACTACTTTGGGGCCTTTGGGTAGTGATCTTACATACTTATAAGTACCAAAACCCCAGACAGGAACCGATTTAGGGCACTTTACCTCGCTTCTAGATCCCCTTGCAATCCTCTTATGCATCCCCCTGGGGAGCCCTCTTAGGAACCCTCAGTCCCATGACCCTCCAAGTACGAAGGCTTCAGGGTCTCTTGGTCGCTAATGCCATGGTTTTGGGGTTTTGGGCCCCCTTTCTTCGGTTTAGGGTTTAGGGTTTTGGGCCCCCTTTCTTCGGTTTAGGGTTTAGGGTTTTGGGCCCCCTTTTCTTCGGTTTAGGGTTTAGGGCCCCCTTTTCTTCGGTTTAGGGTTTAGGGTTTTGGGTTTAGGGTTTAGGGTTTTGGGCCCCCCTTTCTTCGGTTTAGGGTTTAGGGTGAAATGGCCTTTTTTACCAGGATCCCGATTGAAAGCCCTTTTCACGTAGAGGGGTGAATATAGTAAACTAAATAGTAGGATCCATATTATAAGGACCCCCCCCCAAAAAAGAAGGTATCCCTAATTTTCGGAAACTCCCATATACTTCTACAGAACGTCTGTAGGAGCCCCCACAGAAGGCTTCACAGCTACGGTACATAGACTAGATCTGCCTGAAGTTTGAGGGCCTGCTTTGAGAAATTCCGATCAAACAAATATAAGGACTTTCCGAAAATAGGGAACCCTAATATAGTACCCCAAATAGTAGGATCCTTATTCTAAGGACCCCCCAAATAAGGTACCCCTAATTTTCGGAAACTCCCATATAAGGACCCTGATCTGAAGTATGGCTACCCAGAGACTCCAATATCTCTTAATTAGGGAATATTCCCTAGATCATATTAGGGATCCTACTATAACTTAAGGTATATTCCTTTATTTAACGGGTTTTGGAGTCTCTGGCTAGGAAGGAGGGTGTAGCTTTCTTAGGATAAACGGTTCAGACTTCAGGGTTTAGGGTTTAGAGCTTCACTGATAAAGTGCTTAGGCTTTAGGGCTTAGGGTGAAGGACTTAGTTTACTAATACTCAGCTACTAAGGTGAGGATCCTTCACCGATCTGTCAGAACGTGCTTAAGTAGACAACCAGAACACTCATGTGATCTACAGCTTCCGGGTGTAGGTACAGAAATTCGGGCTCGCAGTCTTCGGGGTTTTGATTCCGGGCTTAGGGCTTCAGGATACAAGACCCTAAGGGTCCATGTACCCATATAGCATATACTTTGGGCCCGATGTACCTATATAGGGAGTACTCTAAGGCCAATGTATATGCTCTGTGAGTACATGGACCCCTTGGGAGGGTGTAGCACTGAAGGGTTTGCGGAGTTACGGTCTCAGACCCGGGAAGAACGCTGCCCGAGGCAGTGCGAACCTTGCCGACACGCAGAATGCGTAGTAAAACTGCACCGAAGTGAGTTTCTCCTCTTGCTGGTTCAGTGCACGTGAACGGCCAGAGCCCCAAGCGTCCAAGTACCTAATCTTCATTTTTGCTTTCCCAAAAATCTTAGCGACAAAACTGCTGATCTAAACCCGAAGTACCGAAGTATTAGGTTGCTTGGACCCTTGAAGGGGCCCGTATAGATCTCTTAGAAGAACATGTATCAATCCCTTCAAGGAGCCCTCTTAGATCCCTAGCCTTAGCACGGGTCAAGGGTCTAGAGTCCAGAGGCCAAAGCCTTGCCTACACGGATTAGGGTTTATGCGTTTAGGAGTTTAGGGGCTTAGGTAAAGAGTTCAGAGTTGAGTGGCCTGGGATGTCGCGTCCTGGGTTTCGGGATCAGGGCTTACGGCTCGGGGTTAGAGCTTCTTGAAGGAACTCCAGAAACAACAAGAGAAGCAGTGAATACAAAAAGTTGACGGTCCAGTGCATAAGGGTCAACTGGTGTGCTTCGTTGGGTTATGTATGTAGGGTTTATATGCATGTATGTATGTCTGTACGCATGTGTACGTAGATAAGTATGCATGCATGGATGTATGCGTGCATGTAAATGTATGTAGAAAAATCGTTGTTCGTTGGAGTTATGTGTGTAGGGTACATGTATACTATAAACACACATATGTGTGTGTATATATATATACATAGGGGGAGAGAGAGAGAGAGAGAGAGAGAGAGAGAGAGAGAGAGAGAGATAGAGAGACAGGCGATGACATGTCTGGCAACTTCAAGAGGTGAAAACCTACCAGAAAAGCCTATGCACATGGATAATGTAGGGGCCTTAATAACTAGAATAGGTTTTGGGGCCCCTCTATAGTATAACTATAGTAAGGAAACCGAAGGAATAGTACTGACTGGTAATTATTTAGGCTTCTACGTTATCTTCTTGTTACTCATTCGGGTCCTTCTTGTGGCAGCACGATTTTCGCAATCACCAAGTCTGTCAAGCCGAACAAGACAATGAGCGCATCCAAGAAGTTGCCCCACTGGACGCCCTCCTGTCATGTGAGCTACGTGTTCGGAGACAGCTGAGCTTCAAGCCTGATCGTTAACAAGTTATGCGTGTAGTGGCGTAACAGCTTCACTCTGGCCAAAAGAACCCTAACCCTAGCCCTAGCAATCCATGTACCCATATAGCATATACTTTGGGCTCAATGTACCTATATAGGGAGTACTTTAAGGCCAATGTATATGCACTGTGAGTACATGGACCCTTAGGGTAAGTACCTACTCTCTAAGCGTCCATGTGCCCCATATAGTATGCTCTCTGACCCGAAGGCAAAGGTCTGAAGCCAACATATGTGCAGGTACGTGTACCCGCTTGGTAAGTGCCAAAATAGTCGAAGTTTGCGTGTCTATGTTGAGAAAACTTCTTCCGGTAAGCAAAGAACCTCCCATGGAGATACATGTTGCAGGCACAATGTCGTGATCGAAGTCAGACCACTGACCATGCGAAAGCCGTTTATAAACAGTAACGCCATCTCCCAAAACTACGGCACCCTTGTAAAAAATGTAGGGTTTAGGGTAACGACATCCGACGAACTGCCCAAACCCTGCAACGACAAAAACCAAAAAACAAAAACTGCGTCCCTCAAACGCCATGGTAGATCTTCAGCCCTGACGCTCCACGTATACCTATGTAGTATATACTTAGCCATTACAATACCTAGATCGGAAACAGGCTTAAGTACATTAGTACTTATATGAGTACATGGAGCCTTACATCCTAAACCCTAAAACCCTTAGAGAAGTCCTAAAGTGACCCACAATGGATCCAAAGTTGAAAGGATCCAGGCGCAAGTGCCGGTCGGCTGTTTAAGTTGCATAGGTGAAAGGGTCCGAAATACCTATATGCGGGATAAGTATTTGCAAGGGCTCCCCTACGGGGGTCCTCTAAGGGTTCCTGGAAGGGTTCCCATAGAGGGGGATATTTACCCAAATCATAAACAGTATTTCCTGTTATAGAAACGCTACAGTGTTTTAATAACTACAGTTCTAACCCTTTTGTATATACACGCGTGGCACAAATTGCGGCGTTGAAGCTACTTGATGCAGTATCGTTTCAGAAAGTCAATCAGTAGAATATGGAAGCATTGCGCGAAGAAGCTAGCTGCCACAAGGAGGCACACCCGAGGCTTTCGGTAGGGATCTAAGGACTCATTACATTAAGGCTTTTGGGCCCAAAGACCATACTATAAAAGGCTTTCGGGCTATTTTGATCCCTGGGGTTTTACTGGCTTTCGTAGGATGGCGTGTTCTCGTCGGGGTGCCGTCCGTTTCAATACCAACTCCATTTTGAGGTGAGCATTCCTTAAGGGTTTACGGTTTAGGGTTTAGTGTTTGGGGTTTAGGGGTTCAGGGTTTAGGGCTAAAGTGCCTAAATAGGAACACCTTTAACAGTCTAAGTCTATACCGTACTGTATTGGGTACATGGAGCCCTACAGATTTCGATCCTGAAAGACCCCCTGGACCCTCAAAGGAACCCTTTGAAGGAAACTGTCCTCCGGATGGTAGTACCACTCCTTCCGCAACACAGTTATTCTCAACACCGTTTCGCAAACGTAGAAGGCGAGGAAGGCATATTCCTCAGCAGCCGAGTTCCTAATAACAAGGATTCCACTATCACAAAAGAACTTTGATTTGACGTCTACTAAACCCTAAACCCTAAACCAAAACCCTAAACCGTAAACCAAAACCCTAAACCCAACTAAACCCTAATTCAGCAGCTAGGGGTCTATGTCCTCGTAGATTTCAGGTCTGTCCGTATTCGCCGGCCATTCCGGATACATGCGCACGATACTCTCAGCGGCTGATCCACGCTGCTGCATCTCCTGGGCAGGTTTAGGGTTAGGGGCTTCCTGAGTATAGATCATATGGGAGTTTCCGAAAACAGGTATACCTTATTTTGGGGTCCTTATGATAAGGGTCCTACTATTTACTATTTGGGGTACTATATGAGGATCCCCTGTTTTCGGAAACTCCCATGTAGAAACCCTCAAAAGTTAAAGTCCTAAGAGCCAACCAGCAGAACGCCGAGTTTCGACCACGAGGAACAAGGCATTGATCAGAATGATGATACCTCGCAGGCGAGAAGCCCTAAACCCTAAACCCTCGACTGGCAAAGGTTAACATGCAGTCAGTCGGCAGATAGCTGGCCAAGGAGATCACGCTATGCAAGACAGGTTACAACTAACACGAAAAAAATAGTCAAAGGAATGCCATATGCTCCCGGTCGGGAATCGGCGCGCCTGAAACCCTAGACACTGAACCTTAGACCCTACCTATAGTCTCCATTGTGGTTCCTTTTTTCGGTTATCCAGCTTTATGGCTAGGATCCTATAATAGAGATTTGGGTGAACCAAAAAGGGAACTACAATGGAGACTATAGGTAAACTGCATAAGTCCGATACAGCAGCAGAAACCTCTGACTGAGCTCCATAGCTCAAAGGGCCCTGATACGGTTGGGGACCCTGCAAACCGAGGACGTCCGAGACCCCAAAGAGACCCGGGTTCCGGACCCATAATCCCAGAGGCTCCATATATATAGTACCTTTATGGAATTAGGTCAAGGGTTCCTTTGAGGGTTCTTTAGGGTTTAGGATATGGTGCTCCATAAATAATACTTTTATGAAATTAGGCCCCAAAAGACCATCCCGATCAGGGTTTTAAGAACCGAATTGCTTAATGGTACTGGTACTATCTATGGAGCCTCTAGGAATGAGATACCAAGACTTATGGCAACTCCTCCTAAGCCCACGTGTACACAGCCCACTTCCAGAGTCCCATGTTAAGATCTATATAACCTCATGATGAAGCAAGGAACTCTGAAGAGTGATCACCGATATCGGTAGCTGGCAAGTGCCCAGACCTCTAGACTGCAGCAACTTGAGCAACTTCCCTCTAAGTGCCTTTGGAACAGACCCTGCAGCAGTCAAGAGACAGAAGGAAGGATCCAGCCTACAGCAATTTTGAATTGGTCAACCTGCATGTCCACCACACCAGATGCCAAGCCAAAAGTCGACTCCATTTGCATCCCTCCGCAACCCGAAGCCCAAAACCCTAAACCCTGAACCCTATAAGCCCTAAACCAAAACCGTTTACATTCAAGCCCCAGATCCCCTAAGGCTCCATGTACCCTTATAGTAGATACTTAGGCCTTAAAGTACCGATATAGGGACTACTTTGGGGCATAAGTATCTACTATAAGGGTACATGGAGCCTTTGGGATCCTGAACCAGAAGCCTGAAGCTATGAAAACGAGCTGCCGGCGAGTATATCCAAGGGCCCATCAGCCACAAAGCCGTAAAGCTTTGCCTTAGTCGAAGGGTAAAAGGAGGGACCCTTAATAAGGACCCCTAGGTATATACCCTTAATATACCTATTATATACCCATGATGTAGCCCATTAAAGGGTAGGGGTCCCCATGAAGGGTCCCTCCTTCTCCCCTTTGCCTTAGCCCGAAACCCTCAACCCAATGAGGTTCCCAGACCTTCCAAAATCCCTTAGTTAAGGAACCCAGAGGGTCCACATACCCTACTATTATGGAATTAGGCCCTGAAAGACCTTCCCCATTATGGTTTTGGGGACCTAATTCCATAATAGTAGTGTATATGGACCCTCTAGGGAATATACCTTAAATTATACTAGGGATCCCTATAGTATTATTTAAGGTATATTCCTTAATTGAGGGATTTTGGAAGGTCTGGGTTTAGAGGGTTGTGAGAGGATCAGGTCTTATTCTGTGCCTGTGCTGCAGTTTCAGCGGCCTGTTCTAATCCAGTTTCTCAGCTTTACGCTTGCAACTTGCAACTTGTGCACTACCCCACTGCTCTAATCCTAATGGGCCAGTACTATTGCCTACTGCTGCTGCTTAGTTGTCCAACTCGAGGGCCAGAAATGTGCTCAACCTTTCTTTCTTATTGCCTCCTGCGAACCAACTTCGGAGACCCATGTTCTCTACTATTTGCTTAAGAACCCCCAAAAAATTAAAAATAATAATCCCTATGTTTTCCCTATAAGGAATATATTTTTCATTCTTTGGGGGTTCTTAAGCAAATAGTAGTTCTTCACCCTGAAACTGAACCATGCGCACTACCAGCTGCTGTACCTCTATCAACCTACCAAACCCTACTTTTTTGTAGGGTTCCTATAAACTCCATAATAGGGTTCATAACGAGAACCTACAAAAAAGTAGGGTTTGGTAGGTTAAGGTCTATCATCCTAAGGATCCAAGTGCCTGATGATCATTTACAGTAGAAGCCAAAAAGTTGGAAACCCCACAGCCGCAATCCTTAAGAGTAATGTATAGGGAATCCCAGCACTATTTGGCCTTCATCCGGTTTCCAACTTTCTGGAGTTTACAATACTCTCCCAGCTACTATACCCTACCGACCCGTTATCCGAAACCAAGTACCCTAGACCCAAGAGTAACCTAGGAATAAAAAGGGTGCCCTTTTTGGTTTAAAGGGGCTTATAAGGGAACCTGAACCCTAAAAAAGGGAATAAGGGCCTACTCTACTCTAGGTCCTAGTACCTACTTGTTGGATCGGTTGGACATTTAGGGTGACTGCTGTTCTTGCCGAAACGCGAAGGCACCGTCTTGTGTTACAGTATCTACAGGAGTCCGAGCATCGATTCTAGACACCAACCTACGCCTACCGCTGCCTACTGTCCTATACCCAATTGGGGAAAGCTGAGGGCCTGGGGCGCCGAAGTTTTGGAGTACTTCGGGGATGAACTGTTTGGGGTTTAAAGTCCAGGATGAAGGGCTGATAAGCTCTAACCCCAAGGGTCCATGTGCCCAAATAGTCTATGCTTAGGCCTCAAAGGAGTACTTTGCGGCCAGTGTATATACTATTTGGGTACATGCACCCCTTAAACTCTAAACCCTTATAGAATCCTTATTAGAACCTTTATGGTAGACCCTTAAGGAACCCTTAAAAGAACCCTATTTGGACGTAGGCTAAGGTACATTGGAGCCTCCCGAACTCCTGCAGTGCGGACCCCAAAACTCGAAACAGAAGACATCGGTCCCTTCTGGCACTCCAAGGCAGTACGGCTGATGCTAGAAATCCTGCATGATGGTAAATCACCCTAGACTGTGGGATGTATGGTATATTCCTTATTTTGGGTAATGCAGGATATAACTCTCTCTCTCTCTCTCTCTCTCTCTCTCTCTCTCTCTCTATTTATATATATATATATATATATATATATATATCATGTACCGTATCCACGTTAAGGCCCTAGAAAGATGGCGTCTGTTCATCAGCGCTTTTTTCCATAGGTAAAGAACATCCCCCGGTGCATCTCCGAGCCGCCATCCTTGTTTCCCTGGTGGGAGTCAGCTTCTTTTCTTTGACGGCACCTATCCGCGCCTGCGAACATGGGTTTAGGATGTTTGTTTTTTAGGGTTTAGGGTTTTGGGTTTTGGGTTTAGGGCCTGCGAACATCGAGGATTCAGAATGAAAGACATGTGGGTGATATCGGTGTCTCCCTGAAGGGCATGCTGAATAAAGATCCTACCTGCCCATGCACTCGACAATCTTGGATATCCCCGATACTTTTAGGATATGCCACCTGCCGTCTCATTCGAGATGCAAAAGTTGGCAGCTTTGCTTTTTGCACGGCTTCACCGGGGTGTAGAGGCTTTGCTGGGAAGTGGCAAAATAGCTAATGTAGGGGTCTTAATTAATAAATACCATTTCGATTTGGGCGACAATACATTTCCAATAAGGAACCCTGTGGAATAATATGGGATCCGGTAGGCCTCCATATTCGACACCTGCTACTCACTGCTACTCTGAGCAAACGACAAAGCCAACAGTGGCATCAAGAAAAACAGCTGTGTAAGTCCTACCCATGGCTCCAACTACCGATGTGCCTTGCTATGCTTATGGCAAAGACGAGAAAAATAACATATACATATATGTATATATATATATACACACATAAACATACACATACATCTACACGTGCGTATATGTGTGTGGGTATATACCTATATATGCGCGCGCGTGTGAGTGTCGTACAAACTGCAAGCACAAAAGACTCTAACCTCGCCAACTGTAAACTCCAAAAGCTACACCTGAGCCGATTCCTGTAATCCAGTCCCGAAGCCAAGCAATCTAGGGGCCTTAATAATTACCTATGCTATTGTGGGAGTTGCTCATTATAAATATAGTATAACGTACCGCAAAACCCGCATCTAATCATCAAGGCCCCTATCTGGGCTTTTAAGTAACCAGGGAGAAAAAGTATAAACTTTTATTTCATAATGGTTCCAATCAGAAAGAATATTAAAGTATGGTACTCCGAAGCCCAGCTATAGTAGCCAGCCAGATGCCGACTCCCAACATCCTACTCAAGTCCTACTCCCTCTGCCCCAAATCTGTAACGTCCTGCACAAACGGGTCAGAGGCTAATATGGGAGTTTCCGAAAATTAGGAGTACCTTCTTCTGGGGTCCTTATAATAGGGATCTTACTAAGGGTACTATATTAGGACCCCGTATTTTCGGAAACCCCCATATATGAGCCTTAATAATTAGAATAGGGATTTGGGGTATATTATACTATATGTATTAATACAGAGCCCCCCCAAAAAAAGGACCACGCAGACAGGAACGCAGCCCTCACCAGATGCTAGATGCTGGACCTTATAGAAACATAGAACCTCGATGAAATCCCTCCTTCCCTAAACCCTAAACCCTGAACTAGGAACCCACAGTTCTATGAGCAACCTTATACCTTCGAGCCAAAGAAGCACTTCTCTTAATAATAGTGCCTTGTAGGTTTGCAGTATATGATAATAAAGTAAATCGCAAGTTTAACCCTGATCCCTAAACCCCAAACCCTAAAGTAGGTTAAGAGAATTCAACTACGAAGCGTCACAAACCCGGCCTGGATCTGCGTCACAATTCGCGAGGCTTTGGTGTTCTCCGAGATGGCAGAGCCTGGGTGGTATTTGGGCTCTCATAAGGGAACTCTGGCCTTAGGGTTTAAGGGCTTTTGGGCTTGAGGGGTTTCGCGCTTCACCCCCTAGAACGCCTGTAGGAACCCAAAAGAGCCCTTTGCAGTCTCCATTTAGTGCAAATATAACTCTATTTATAACCTACTTACTAAGTTCCCTGCCTTTTAAGTACTGTATGTGTTTAGGGTTTCGGTGTCTGGAGTTTCGGGGTTCTGCCATGACCACGTAATAAGTCTCAAGAGGGTTTTGAAACCGGGTTTTGGGTTTTAATTTACTAAAACTATAATAAGGAACCACCCAAGACAGTATGGGTAGTTCTTTCGGCCCCTATAGTACCACAAGAGCCTTGTTTCCATACCCGATTGCGGCGGTTTAGGGCTTTCAAGCTTAAGCTCTCGGCGGTCTAGAACCACAGGGTGTCGAACCCTGACGTTTTATAGCTGTTGAACACACAATCTTATTTAACAACGTTCTAGTCAGGCATTGTCCTCTAATTACAGCCTTTGTTGGTCTCCAGTGGTCTTGATTTGACTTGGTTAATTGCAAGCAAGTCTGTGTTGTTGGTTGTTCTTGGATGCCGATGGCCAAAGACCTGCATAGCTTCAGTACCAGTATGTTCATGCTCTATAGGCAATGCAGGATTTTGCCAGTCGGGTCCTAACTATGAGGTCCTTGGAGGGATAGGGTAATCGAAGGCCCTTGAGTTTATTTTGTACCAAAGTGATAGGAACCCTTCTACACTTCGAAGCGTATCGAACCTGTAAGGGAATCCAGGAGGAACCCTAAACACTAAACCCTGAACAATCGACCTTGGACCCTAGACCCTAAAGTAAAAGCCAGAAAGTTGGAATATGATTATCCTCAACCCTTTATGGTAAATTATAAGGTATCCTACCCTGAAACCATATTCCAACTTTCTGGAGTTCCCTTTAAACCCTTGAAAAAGAGTCGAGGGACTAGGGGAGTCCAGTTTGCTCGCCCGGGAGTGCTGCTTAGCTGCCTGGAGAAGGTCTGAGATATGGTTGATGTATAAGTCCTACATTACCTTAATGACCCTAAACTATGGGGGTTCTGGTCTATTCATTATTATGGGTAACGCGGGATGTATATCATCAACCGTAGGGAATCTTAAAGGATGCTTATATATATACACATACATATCGCTATACTTTAATTAATCCCTGAGGGATTTGGGAGTTTGCGAAAATAGGGGACCCCAATATAGTACCCTAAATGTATACTAGGATCCTCATTATAAGGACCCCAAAATAAGGTGCCCCTAGTTTCGGAAACTCCCATGTAAAGTTATAGCCCTAAGGGGATCTTGGGCTAGAATCCCTAGTGGCTCAGGGTGACAATCCCAAAGGGTAGACAAGTTTTATGTATGCTCCCTTACTTGGAGGGGCAGGGGACTTAGTAAGTAGGTTTTAAGTAGGGTTATAGTTGGGGTAACTCCACTCAGGAGACTTACAATCCCAATTATAACCTACTTACTAAGTGCCATGATCCTCTAATCAGAACTTTTTTTGCTCCCTTAGGGTTTGACGGTGTAATATCTCAAGGGATTTTAGATAATACCTGCTGGGGGCTTTGGGTTTAAGCTTACTTTAGGGTCTAGGGATTGGGGAAGCAGGTAGTGAACTCACTGCTCCTCACTAGTAAGGGCCCTTGGCGGCATAATCAGGACGGCTGATATTTCATATGACTACTAGTAACAGCTTCTCGGAACACCGCACCCGAACGGCCCGAGAACGCAAAACACATGTTACCCTCAAGGTGTATAGGGCGCCAGCAAAGCACATGAGCAACAGTTACGACAGGGATTTCCCATATAAACCCCCTGATTATCTAGGATACCCAGTAACCTAAGAATAAAAAGGCCTCTCTTTTTTGGTATTGGGTAACTTTATAAGGAACCTAGGACTACGAAAAGGGAATAAGGGTACTACTGGGCATCATAGTCATGATGAAGCCCAATCAGGTAGCGATCTCCCTGTGACATGCTTAACGTCCTTTTCGGGTCCCCTGGGTGCTTGGCCTGGGCCTGAAGATGATGTTGCGGTCGGAAATCTAAACCAGGAGCACTCGAGACGCACAACCCTAAAGGGAACTCCAGAAAGTTGGAATATGGCTTCAGGGTAGGATACCCTATAATTTACCATAAAGGGTTTAGGATAATCATATTCCAACTTTCTGGCTTTTACCTTAGGGCCTACAAGTTCGAAGCCAAAAAGCTCGAAGGCGCAATCAAGCCCTAACATCTGTGAGCCCTACAGCCCGAAACGCGAAAGCCCCTAAGCCTAGAGAGGCGATAATGGTTGAACATGCTACGCGTATGGCTATACCTGACGCTATGGCAGAGTGGTGGTACCAGACATGACAATGATCCTCATACAAAGAACAACAATGGACGATGATGTTCATATCATAATCATTATCGTTGCACCAATAGGAATCGAAAGAGCAACAGTCATGACAATACTGTATTCTTTTTGTTGCTAATGCTAGTATTGCTAGTGGTAATAGTAGTGGCATTGTATTTAGATGTATTTCGTTACGGTACAACGCAACAAGCAAGATAAACCACTACAGTTTTCGCCAAGGGTCCAAGGACTCAATAATCATATACTCGCCAAACTCCTAACCTACACAACTACCATACTAAACCGAGTATGCCTAGTTGTTGGGTCCTTTGGACCCTTGGGGTTTGGCCCTTATGGAACCCTTTTCGGAGCCTTCCAAAATCATGTTGCAACGATAGAGGCGCCAAAAGGGAGCCTGAAGCCCCAAAACCCTCAACCCTAAACTCTTAACCCCAAAGGGTCCAAGTATCATCCTGGTATGTACTTATAGGGCATTTTTGGGGGTCTAAGTATGTTCCATGATGATACTTGGACCCTTTGGAAACCCTAAGCCCCAAACCCTCAACACCAAACTCGACACCCTAAGCCCTAAACTCTAAACTCTGAACCCCGAAGCCTCAAGCTTCTCTCTACACCCTAAAACCCTAAACTCTACACCCGAAACCCTAGTTGCAGCCTGTGGCTTTGATTGATTCTCGCAGGGAGAAGGTGCCTTGGCTTCGGAAAGAGCTTGGATTTACGGCTTCTTTAAGTTTTAGGGGTGATGAAAGGTATAGGATTCTGGGTGTAGGGCTTCCGTTGCGGGCTTACTTGAAGGCTCATGGGACTTAGTAAGTAAGGTTATAAGTAGGTGATAATTAGGATAACCCCACTTAGGGGACTTATAACCCCAACTATAACCTACTTACTAAGTCCCATGATCCTCTAAGTAGACCCTAAACCCTAAACCCCATAGATCCCTTTAAGGAACCCTATAGATCCCTTTAAGGCGCCCTTTAAGGAACCCCTATACTAAGTCCCCTGCCCCTCCAACTAGGATTTAGGGTGGAGGGCTTGGGCCTTGGGGGTTTCGGGGTTAGCCACAGGTGGCTTGGAGGTTAGTTTGGGGAAGCTTAAAACCTAAACCCTGTAGTACCCCTTTAAAGGAACCCTAAACCCGACACCCTGTAGTAGCCTTTTAAAGGAACCCTAAACCCGAATCCCTGTCGTATCCTTTTAAAGGAACCCTAAACCCGAAACCCTGTAGTATCCTTTTAAAGGAACCCTACACCCAAACCCTGTAGTATCCTTTTAAAGGAACCCTAAACCCGAAACCATAAAACCCTACGGTACCCGGAAGCCTTTAGTGTAGGCCCCTATAGTATCCGTTTAAAAGAAGCCTTTAGTTAGTGTAGGCCCCTATAGTTTTCCTTTAAAGGAACCCTTTTTAGCCCCATGGTATCCCTTTTTTGGGGAACCCTTTAGTATAGGCCCCATAGTATCCTTTTTTAAGGGAGCCCTTTAGCATAGGCCCCTAAAGTAAACCCCAAACCCCTGAATTGTCCAGGCATGGATCGGGGCGTGGGGGCTTCAAGTCAGGGCCTCAGCTCTGAGGATTGGGTACTGCCCCCACTCTATGACAGTTTCAAACTTTGTAAAGACATGAATACATATTCATATATATATATATATATATATCAGATATCATATATATATATAAACATATAATGGTACAGCATATATATATATATATATGTATACTTATATAGATGTGTATATCCCTTATTAAGACCTCTAAGATAGACTATACAGACTGTTAAAGGTTGGGGGGGGCAGTACCCGAGGCTTAAGGCTTAGGGGGTAAGGGTAGGCGTCCGGTTTCAGGGTTTGTAGGGCGTTGTGGGGGTTGAGGTTTCAGGACTGTGATAGTTAGGGTCGGGCGCTAGGTTAACTTAGGGTGCAAAGGGCCCGGTGATTAAGGGTCAGAGGTAGGGCAGAGGAGAGGCTAGAGCGGGTAGGGTAGAGGGCAGAGTTTAGGGCCTAGGGCTGCAGGTTCGTAGTGGAGGTGGGAAGGGCTACTGGAGGAAGTAGTGGTGCTTTGGGGCGATGTGTAAGACGATGTCAGTCATGTACATGGAAAGGAAAGCTCCTAACTACAAATGACACCCTAAGCCCTCCAGCGGATCCCACTATAACGGATGCAGACGTCCCAAAAAAAGGGGTTCCAGTTCCCTGCGCAATAAACCCCTACAGCCTTATGTACTTTAAACCTTCAAAGGGCTCAGGGCTTGCGACCTAACCATCCCCCAACACCTAAACCCTCAAAACATGAACCCCCTTATTCTGTACCGCGGAAGCCTGAATAGCTAGACTATGGCTTGGGGTTATACCAGTACCAAAGTTCGAGCACATAAAACTGCTTCCATGTGTACACCTTAGCCTTTAACTTTACCTGTCACAGTACCATACCTGTATCTACATCTATGCGTGTGTGTGTGTGTGTCATGTAGTGCTTAGTGTACGGTACGGCGATGTACTCTATTGTACTGTACGGTACTGCACGATACCGCTCTGTACTGTAATTACACCGCTCTGTACTGTACTTACTCTACCGTAATGCAATCGTACGTATGTATGCATGTATGTATGTATGCCTGTACATGTGTATGCTTGTAAGTATGCGTGCACCTGTACATGCGTATGTTTGAATTTGCTTGTTTGTTTTGTAAGTATATATGTATACATATCTGTCTGTGTGTGTGTTTCGGAAAACCGTCAAAGGCTGCTGATTGCGACATCTTGCGACCGAAGGTGCCGGTATTGCTGTGAAAGCCAGGTGGCCAGGTGGCGCAGCAAACTGGCGATGGGAAAAGTCCTGGCTTCGAACGGCTCCAGGCACCCTTTCATGTAGGTATGTATGTATGCATGCATGTGACTATACGTCAGTACATCTTTATATATATGTGCATGTGTATATCTAAGCGTATATATATACACACACATACATATAGACATGCATGTGTGTATGTGATGTACACTGAAACGCAATGCAATGTAATGTGATGTAACGTAATGTAGTCTGTCTATTAATGTTAATGCAACAACGTAACGTACTGTAATGTAACGTAGTGTAGGGTAATGTAATGTAATGTATTGTAAAGAATGATGTAGTGTGATGTATTGTAGTGTAGTGTAATGTCATGTATGTACGTATGCATGCACGCCTACAGATATGACCGTAATTTGGAAACTATATTCATAAACATATATGCAAACACATACTTGCGCATGCACACCCATACACTCGGATTTTGTACTTCCCTAAACCCTAACCCCGAAATCCTTGGATTCGGAAGGCCTGGGATGCAAGACTTCAGGGATCAGGGGATGGATGGGCAAGAGATAGGACCCAAAGAGTCCGAAGGACCTACATGGGGGGAAACTTACCCAAACCATGATAGTCACTACGGAAACCCTACTTTGGGGGAAAGGAACACGCAAATGTAAAGCACTTGAGACCCGTCGCCTAAACTCCAAAGCGTATCGGTACATGGTGGCATAGCCAAGCCCGGTTATGGCTAATGGACAAATGCCGGCAGTATCCATAGTGATGCCATAATTCTCGTGTTTTTGGTTATACCCCACGTGATTTCCCAAACTGTATCCCCCCCAGGAACCCAATCTAATTGTTCAGGCCCCTACACTGGGCCCTACATTTTGGGACCAGGCTTTCGGCATTGTTCGCGTCCATGGAACTCAACAAGATGTCTATAAGCCTGACTTGTTAAACGGGACATTCCGCACCCGAGACTGCAAACCTCGGGATGGCTTCGGGTTTGGGGTTCGGTTTAAGGTTTAGGGTTTAGGGTTCAGGGTTCAGGGTTTAGGGTCCCGTCCTGGCTCCAGCATTGCAAGCTGTACAGAATTTCCTGCTGCTTCGACAGCTCGCGCATCAGAGCTGCATGGTGCTCTCGAATCATATCCTCCAAGGCTCCCTCCTCTATAGGGGTCCTTTTAAAGGGTTCCTTTACAGGGGTCCTTTAAAGGGTTCCTTTAAAAAGGGGTCCAAGCCGTCTAAGCGTTACTGTACGGGCTACTATAAGGGGTTAGTATCTGGACTTTGAAGTAACCGAGGGGAAACAAGTATAGACTGTCAATTCAGTAATGATGCCTTTGAGGAACTGGTCCAAAAGACGCATGAAAGTATGAAGTTTGGGGGCCTTACTGCATACGTCCGTACCTGTTCTCTCTCTCTCTCTCTCTCTCTCTGTCTCTCTGTCTCTCTGTCTCTCTGTCTCTCTGTCTCTCTGTCTCTCTGTCTCTCTCCCTCTCAGTCTCTCTCTCTCTCTCTCTCTCTCTCTATCCGCCTCTCTCTCTCTCTCTCTCTCTCTCTCTCTCTCTCGTGCTCTATGTCTCTGTCATTCAATCAGTATCAAGATATCAAAAACCATACAAATAAAGGAACGGAATCACATGACATACAAAATAATACAAAGCATAACTTCTATAAGACATAAACCATGATGTATCATCTACTCTGGTATGCATGCACGTATGTATATATGTATGTACGCAGGCATGTGCGCCTGCATGTCTGTGTGTAAGTGTATATGCATATGTATATACAGATGTAGATATAGATGTAACGTATAGGTACAGGTATAGGTATATGTACAGGTATAGGTACAGGTACAGGTATAGGCGAATGCATGAATGAATGAATGAACGAACGAACGAAGGAATGAATGAATGAATGAATGCATGCATGCATGCATGGATGGATGGATGAATGGATGAATGAATGATTGAATGAATGAATGAATGAATGAAAGAAAGAATGAATGAATCAATGAATGACTGAGTGAGTGAGTGAATGAATGAATGAACGAACGAACGAAGGAATGAATGAATGCATGCATGCATGCATGCATGGATGGATGGATGAATGGATGAATGAATGAATGAATGATTGAATGAATGAATGAATGAGTGAATGAATGAATTAGTTAATGAATGTCAGACTGGGTCAGTGAGCGCGCGAATGAGTGAATGAGTGAATCAAGAAATGGGTGAAAAAGTGAATGAATGAATGAATGAATGAATGAATGAATGAATGAATGAATGAATGAAGAAATGAATGAATGAACCAATGAAAGAATGAAATAATGAATGAATGAAGGGATTAACGGACCAATGGATGAACGGAAGAATGAAACAATTGAATGGATGGGCGGATGAGCGAATGATCGAATGAACGAACGTGTGTGTACATACAGAAATATACACTCATGCATGCATGCATGCATCTATGTATGTGCCCGTCATATCACCATGCTACCCTACCCCTTAACTTAAAACTCTCCTGACAAAGGCATTCGGGCCAGTTCCGGTCCTAAACTCCCGGCTACACGGTCAAGATCGTCTGCATGGTTGCGGGGCGAGGGACGCTCTGAGTATCAATAGGGTTTAGGGTTTAGGGTTTAGGGGTTCTCAGTCTAAAGCCCCCAACCCCAAAACCCTAAACCAAACTATACCCTGCATCCGCTTTACACGGCAGGCTGGCGAGAATCCGGGGTTTTAGGAGTTCGGTTCCTTGAAGGTTCCTCTGAACCCTCAAAAGGGTGCTAAGAAGGCTCTAGAAGGATACTGTGAGGACGGGTTTCGGTTTGCTGCATGTGAAATGGTAGTGGTTGGTAGCCAATGTAGCCAAACCCGAGCATTGTCTCGCAAGCTTAGGTATTGTCTACGGTACAAGACCGTCTCCTTGACGCTGCCATTGTCCAGAGAATGACCTTCCATCTCTGTCACCGCGTCTGCCCCAAGGCATGACATCGCACTTGCACGGCACTGGAAGCTTGATACAGCCATCTTTTGCAACTATGACATACTATGGTCTTCGAGCCGAAAACAACAGGTGAGGAACCCTCACCCCTGAACCAACATTATGGAACATGCCTTTGTTTTCAGGGAGCGTGCACATGGGTGCCTTCACTGCAGATCAACACAACATGGCCGACTGTGATGTGAAGGCAGATCCGGTACAAGACGACCATGATGCTGACTGCAATACTTAAACTTACTGTAGAGTTCTCGCAAAGGCTATCAAGCTCATCACGGTGATGAGGGCCGTAATCACGGATTTGTTAGGACATACGGTTGGGGTGCCACGCGACCACTACGAGTGCGAGCAATGGTAGTAGCGGTTGTCGCAATCTTCGTCGTCGTCGAAGTAGAAAGAAAACCAGCGGCAGTAGCAAGAGCAGTAATGGTCAAGGTGGCTGCAGTAAGCATATCGTACTGGCATGCTGCTCACGCAGAGCAACTGCAGACTACTGGTATGTGGTCTGAGCCATACGACGTTCTTCGGTGCCCCTTGCAGCGGCTGTGTGCTGCAACTCGAAAGACTCTAAAGCAACAAACCTGGCCCACCGTTACAACCGTCTAGTACATAGTAACGTGGGACCATTAACCCACAAGCTGCGAAACCAAAACATCGAACACGAACATCAGACGCCAGCCCGAACACCAAGTACAGGACCCAAGTACCTCAAATCTCGAACGTCTCCAAGCCTCCGCAATACCAAGCAGTACCCCAAACCCCAGAGCGAAACAAAGAGAAGCCCAACACTTTCTTCTCCATGGGCAAAGAGGTCTTTACTGCTGGGAGAATTGCCCAGACCTCCCAAACTCCCTTAGTTAAGGAGTCAATAGCTGTAGGATCTCTCATAATTGTGATTTAATGTAACGCTCCTTAATTAAACAGATAGTGGGAGGTCTGGGTGTGCCTGTCACTGTCAACGGTACGGTCCCGAGATGCGGTAATCCAGCAGGAATGGGCTTGAGCAATAAGTGACCCTGAACGCTCCTGTACTCATGAAGTAGATACTTAGGCCTCGCAAAATTCCTGAATAGATACTGTAGAGTACACACTATATGGGTACATGGACCCCGCGGGGAATAGATTAATTATTGAAGTTGTTGGGCAAAAGTTTGGGGCTGGTTGATGACACCTCCGAAGAATTCACGACCGCATGTCGAAAAACACACCCAGCTTCATGGTATTGAGCTGAACTTGGGATTCGCTTTCGAGGCCTTTGCTGCTAGTGTCATTCTTCACGGTTCGTACTGGACATCTTGTTGAACAATGTAGGGATCTTAACAATCAGAACAAAGTTTGAGGGGTACATTATTGCAGACTTTTGTCCCTAAATCCTAAATTCGGAAGCCTAAGAAACTAAACCCTAAGCCCTCAACCCCAAACCCTAAACCCTGAAGCCATAAGATTCCTAGTCACTCAAGGCCTGTTTATGCTGTGAAGCTTCCACGTTGGGATGTTGCGGATCTAACCTCAAAGAGCTTCCACGCCCGAAAGGGTCATACGTACCTATGCTCCAGGACCCCCCCAATGGCTTTAATGGAGCCCTTATGGTCCGTAAAAGTGGGTACTTGGGGTATAATAGAGGGTAGTTGGGGAGTCTAGGTTTAGGATTTAGGGTAGGGTTTAAGGTTTAGGTGGAGGGTTCAGGGCTTAAGTTTCTTGAGTAGCCTAAGTACGTATATAGGGTTGCTGTAGGGGTCCCTTTAAGGGTTGCCTATAAAGGTTCCTTTGTGGGTTTCTGCAAATCTTTGGGGTTCAGGGTACCTATAAACACAAACTAGGGTTTCTATAGTAGGAATTGCAATTATGCTTTGGGCAAGTGCTCTCTCATATAGGGACCCTTAAAGGAACCCTTAGAGGATACCCTTAAAGGAACCCGTATAAGTATCCTAAACCCTGAACCCAAACCCCCAAACCCCTAAACCCTAAACCCAAACCCCCAAGCCCCTAAACCCTAAACCCAAACCCCCAAACCCCTAAACCCTAAACCCAAACCCCCAAACCCCTAAACCCTAAACCCAAACCCCCAAACCCCTAAACCCTAAACCCTAAACCCAATCCCGCAAACCCCTAAATCCTAAGCCCTAAACGGTAGTATCCCCCATGGAGCTGCTTCGGACCCCGTTGGGCCTGAAATCACTGGACCCGAGGTTCAGCCGGCGGGCTTACCTGCACCCTATAAAACCTCCCAGAGACTCCAATATCCCTTAATTATAAGGAATATACCTTCAATTATGGTAGGACCCCTCATATAATTTAAGGCATATTCCTTTATTAAGGGATATTGGAGTCTCTGGGCTTCGTTTTCAAGGCTTCCTGGGTTTAGGGTTTAGGGTTTGCAAAGTAGAGTTTGGACTTTTTTGCTGAAAGGGGCGCTGTTAAGGGTGTAGGGCTTTTCATGTTTCAAGGGGGAAGTAATTTGGGGTTTGGGGTTTGCCTTTGATCCACAAGGGGGCTGAGGGTTTACGGTTCGGGGTTTGTTATCTTTGAAGGGTGGGGGTTCAGGATTTAGGGTTTCGGGTTTTGGGGTTTTGGTTCGAGGGACCGCAGTTGTGACACCCCTCTTTGGGGCAAATAACTATCCTCGACTGCATCTGGCTTTGCCAAGCAGGCGAGTTCGTGTGAAACCTGATGTGACACAAGCCACCAGAGGTGTATTTTAAAACTCATGCCTCCGCGATGGCTCCAATGCACCACCATGAACCTAAACTCAAGAAATCATTATACGGGTAAGTTCTATCATTAATTGACCAAGACGGGACTGTCAAACTGGATGGCCCTTTCAAAGCCTTTTAACAACTGTCGTAAATAAGATGCTCTAGGCCCAATAGGTATTCCGGCACTACACATCTAATGAATACTCTGTGTTGTAACATCTTTTGCAGATGTCGGATTCGAGGGTAGCTGCGTAGGTGTTCCGACTCTTGATGTCATTCTCAGGTCCGGGCTTCCGTAGGTTAGCCTCCAGACAAAGACAGAAACCAATGTTTCAAGGAAGTGGGCGGCTTGCTTTCGGGATAGAGTAGACAAGTAGATGAGACGTCTTACCCAATAGTGGCGGAAGAATCAGCCACTCAACTTGTCGGTTGTAGCTCGACTCGACAGAGTCAGACGAGTGCCTAAACTTGAGCTGAACCCATGGAGGACATCGGAGGGACACAAACGGAGGTGGAGGACGGCCGCGACCCAGAGAGCCCTATGCCCCATAATTCAAGGACTACATACCGTTGGTGTTGGTTTTGTCGGTCTTCAGGTTAGGGCTTAGGGTACTCCGAAATGTAGCTGTAACTTGTATTAGGGTGGTGTTGTCGGGCTACTAGTGACAACTTTGACCAACGAAACCTAGCCTTGAATCATCATACTTGAGGGGCAGCGGACTTAGTAATAAGGGGCTCCCTAAAGGGATCTATAGGGTTCCTTAAAGGGATCTATGTGGTTTAGGGTTTAGGGTCTACTTGGAGGGGCAGGGGACTTAGTAAGCAGGTTATAAGTAGGGTTATAATTGGGGGTAACTCCATCCAGGGCACTTATAACTCCACTTATAACCTACTTACTAAGTCCCCTGCCCCTCCACGTAAAAATAATACTACAACATAAGCTATAGTCCTTCACATGGCGGCCTGAATATTTCGAGTAAGGCCTGGGGGTGATTATATCATAAATACGACGACGGTATTAAACCCTGAGCCCCAAAATCCTCCTAATCCCTATACCTTTAACCGTCATAGTATAGGGATTGTACGGGATACTCCGACGCCAGGTAGATACTTAGATACTACCTTAAGAACGAAATGACCCTTGAAAGTAGGGACCCTATACATACTCTTCTACTCTGAATGTATTCAGAACCTTCAAACCTGTTCGGGCTCATGTCGTCTTTAAGTGTTATAATTAACTATCTGGACTCTATCAAACCTTCCATTTTAGAGCTCCTTACTATGATTTCCTTGTATAAGTCCTAAAAAGGTAGATCATTTGGGGTTAAGGCATCTACTATACGAACTCTAAATTGGACCATACTGGGCTCTCTGGGGACAGACCACCCCTAGACCGTGGGAATTGGCGACATCAGCGTGGCGGCAGAGGCTCCACCTCTGCTTCCTGAACTGCAGGGGCGGTTTTTATCTATTCTATACGGGTTCAGGGATATATACATAGATATAGTTATATATGTCTATAGGTATGTGTATATGTATCCAAACATACATACATACATACATACATATATATATATATATGTAAAATTAACCTTATGTAGGATCTTATCCCGGGTCTGAAATGCAAAGGGTATGTATACCAGCGCAGGTATGGATATGGACTTTTGGAGGCTCTGGCCACAAAGGCCATGAATGCGATGTTGTTTGCGGGGCAATACCTCAAGTTTGAGAAGTCGAGAAGGCGTCTACGGTGTCTGGAGTCTGGTAACTATCGGGTAATATGTCTAGAGGGTCGAGTTGGGTTAAAACTGCCCAGGGTGTGTTTATCAGGTTAGAGGTTGGGGGTCAAGGGTTGGCAGAGGGTTTCGGGCAGCTGGCAGAATCGTCGGCAAACAAACATCTTGTGCTATGCGGATTAAAAGTCCGCGCTCAATGACTCATGATGTTCCGTTTATGTGCAGTTGTAGGTTCGCTTGGTTCATTTATGCTGTTCGGTCGAAGTGGAACAGACTTCGACCCTAAACCCTCAGGCGCACCGCACATCCTCTAGGCTTCCCGAAAGGGCTTACACACAGTGTCAGAGTGATTGGCTTCAGGGCATGTGAAGATCTGTGAGTGACAAGCATAATTGTGCAAGCAGGAGACAGAGCCTGCCTGCCACAAATGCATGCCAGGTTTGGACATAGAAAGCATAAGATTTAAATGCAATTGGGCTGTCACACAGTCACGCATTCTGAGACAAGATTTCGATGTGCGTAAGGTTGTTGAAGTGTAGTACCCGCGACGGGTTCTACTCGTAGAACAACTCTAGGCCAACCTAGATGAAATCGCAG